TAAAGTCAGGAATAAAAGAGAAGACATAACTACTGATCTTACCAAAATAAAAAGGAATATAAGGGAATGCTATGAACACTGATATGCCAAAAAATTAAATAGCCTAGATGAAATGAACAGATTTCTAGAAAGACATAAACATGGAAACTGACTCAAGAAGAAATAGAAAACTATAACAGACCTCAAACAAATAGATTGGATTAGTAATCAAAAACTTTCCTCAAAGAAAAACAGAACAGGTGGCTTCAATGTTAAATTCTACCAAATGTTTAAAGAAGAGTTAACCTCAATACTTCACAAATACTTCCAAAAATATGAGAGGAGGCCAGGGGGAGTTAAGATGTCAGAGAAATAGGGGGCCTGGGATTTCTTGTGTCCCTCAAACACAGCTATATTGAGGTCAGATCACTTGGAACACTCAGGAAATCAATGTGCGGAGTGGCACAAGGATCTCCACGGGTGGAGGGAGACAGCTTGGTAGGATCAAGGTGTGTGTATGCCAGTTGGAGGAGATAAAAAGGTGTAGGCATAGAGGAGAAGGAACCCCTTCTGTGGAGAGACAAAAGGGAGAGAAAGAGGGGCTGTGAGATTGCGGTATTGAGTTAGCAGAAGAGGAAAACCTCTCCTGACAACGGACTGGGGAATGAGAAATATGGAGAGTGCCAGTTTCTATCTTGCAAACAGCCTTAGGTGCTGAAACTCCAGGTTTTCAAAAGTGTGTGACTTTCTCTGACCAGAGCTGCTTCTGGGTACGCAGCACCTGGTGGGTAGGGAAGCCAGCCTTAGGGTGGATGTAGCAATCTCAGGGATGCACTGGGAGAGAACAGTCCCCTCCCTTGAGTACTGTAGGAAGAAGGTGTATTGCCCCACCCCAAGGACAAAAGACCCTGCAGGTGCCAGTTCAAGGCCTTTTATCACCTGGGCGGAGTGTCCCTTTTCCAGAACCAGGTCCCCAGGGTGTGGGATCCTTTAAGATATTGGGTTTTGAATCTCAGCCCAGTGCCTAGGAGGCGCCAGAGACTGTGGAGCAGTCCAAGCCAGCCTGCCCGTGCTACTCTGTGAGGGCTGCCTAACAGTGGTTTGAGACACTGGTTGGGGGAGGAGAGATTGAAGTGTTGCGATTTTCCCCCTCCAACACGAACAAGGTGGGGTTTCAGGGAACAGAACAGTGGTCCCTAGTGGAGGCGGGACCCGCTTACAACAAACCCTGCCCTGTGCCCCTGGCAACTGCTTATCTACAGGAGTGAGATTGACAGTGAACGAACCAGATGGCCTCTCCTCCAAACCAGCACAGCCACGGGTCTCAGGCACTGTTGTTTTTGTCTGTTAGTCTGTTTGTCTATCTGTCTGCCAGTTTTTCCTATTTGTTCTTCTCTTCTCTGTGTCTCACCACTCTCTTCTTTTTTTTTTCTTTTAGAATAACAAATATAAAAGGATTGAGATCATACCATGCATATTTTCAGAATCACAACACTATGAAACTTGAAATCAAATACAAGAAGAAATTTGGAAAGCTCCCAAATACATGGAGGCTAAAGAACATCGTACTAAAGAATGAATGGGTTAACCAGGAAATTAAAGAAGATATTAAAAAATATATGGAAGCAAATGAAAATGAAACCATGATAGTCCAAACCCTTTGGGATGCAGCAAAGGCAGTACTAACAGGAAAATACATTGCAATTCAGGCCTATCTTAAGAAGCAAGAAAGGTCCCAAATATACAACCTAACCTCACACTTAAAGGAAATAGAAAGGCAGCAGTGAAGAAAACCCAAAGCCATCAGAAGAATAGAAATAATAAAGATTAGAGCAGAAATAAACAATATAGAATCCAAAAAAGAAAAAAACCCACAACAACAATAGAAGAAATCAATGAATCTAAGAGCTGGTTTACAAAATTGATAACCCCCTAGCCAGACTTCTCAAAGAGAAAAGAGAGAGGACCCAAATAGATAAAATCACAAATTAAAGAGGAGAGATCACAACCAACATCACAGAAATACAAATAATTATTAGAGAATACTATGAAAATATCATATGCCAACAAACTGGACAATCTGGAAGAAATGGACAAATTCCTAGACACTCACACACTACCAAAACTAAAACGGGAAAAAACAGAAAATTTGAACAGACCCATAACCAGCAAAGAAATGGAATGTCTACCAGACATTTAAAGCGGAGTTAATACCTATTCTTCTCAAACTGTTCCAAAAAAGAGAAATGGAAGGAAAGATTCCAAATCAATTATATTAAGGCAGAATTACCTTGATTCCAAAACCAGACAAAGATCCCACTAAAAAGGAGAATTACAGGCCAATATTCCTGATGAACATGATGCAAAAATTCTCAACAAGATACTAGCAAATCGAATTCAACAGTCATTAAAAAATTATTCACCATGATCAAGTGGGATTCATTCCTGGGCTGCAGGGCTGGTCAATATTTGCAAATCAACCAATGTGGTACACCACATTAATAGAAGAAAGGAAAAGAACCATATGTTCCTGTCAATTGATGCAGAAAAAGCATTTGACATAATACAACATCCTTTCTTAATAAAAACCCTCAAAGAAGTCGGGATAGAAGAAACATACCTTAGCATCATAAAAGCCATATATGAAAGGCCCACAGCTAATATCATTCTCAATGGGGAAAAACTGAGAACTTTTCCCTTAAGATCAGGAACACAAAAGAGATGTTCACTCTCACCACTGTTGTTCGCCATAGTATTGGAAGTCCTAGCTTCAGCAAAATGAAATAAACAAAACGAAATGGACAAAATGAAATAAATGACATCCAAATTGGCAAAGAAGACAAACTCTTACTTTTCTCAGATGACATGATACTCTACATGGAAAACCTGAAAGACTCCACCAAAAACCTTCTAGAACTCATACATGAATTCAGCAAAATCGCAGGATGTAAAATCAATGTACAGAAATCGGTTGCATTTCTATACACCAATAATGAAGCAACAGAAAAAGATATCAAGTAATCTATTCATTTACAATTGCACCAAAACCCATAAAATACCTAGGAATAACCTACCCAAAGAGGTAAAAGATCTGTACACTGAAAACTATAGAAAGCTTGTGAAAGAAATCAAAGACACAAAGAAATGGAAAAACATTCCATTCTCATGGATTGGAAGAAGAAATATTGTTAAAATGTCAATACTACCCAAAACAGTCTACACATTCAATGAAATCCTTATCAAAATGATACCAGCATTCTTCACAGAACTAGAACAAACAATCCTAAAATTTGTATGGGACCACAAAAGACCCTGAATAGCCAAAGTAATGTTGAAAAAGAAAATCAAAGCTGGAAGCATCACAATTCTGGACTTTAACCTGTATTACAAAACTGTAATCATCAAGACAGTATGGTATCGGCACAAAAACAGACACATAGATCAATGTAATAGAATAGAGAACCCAGAAATGGACCCACAAATGTATGGCCAAATAAGCTTTGACAAAGCAGGAAGGAGTATTCAATGGAAAAAAGACAGTCTCTTTAGCAAATGGTGCTGGGAGAACTGGACAGCAACATGCAGCAGAAATAAACTGGACCACTTTCTTATACCACACACAAAAATGAATTCAAAATGGATGAAAGACCTAAATGTGGGACAGGAAACCATCAAAATCCTAGAGGAGAAAACAGGCAGCAACCTCTTTGACCTCAGCTGCAGCAACTTCTTACTTGATGTGTCTCCACGTCAAGTGGAGGCAAGGGAAATAAAATAAAAAATGAACTACTGGGACCTCATAAAGATAAAAAGCTTCTGTACAGCAAAGGAAACAATGAGCAAAACTAAAAGGCAACTGATGGAATGGGAGAAGATATTTGCAATGACATCGGATAAAGGGTTAGTATCCAAAAGCTATAGAGAACTTACCAAACTCAACACCCAAAAACCAAATAATCCAGTGAAGAAATGGGCAGAAGATATGAATAGACATTTTTCCAAAGAAGACATCCAGATGACAAACAAACAAACACATGAAAAGATGCTCAACATCACTCATCATCAGGGAAATACAAATCAAAATGACAATGAGATACTACCTCACACCTGTCAGAATGGCTAATATTAACAACTCAGCAAACAACAGATGTTGGCGAGGATGTGGTGAAAGGGGAACCCTTTTGCACTGTTGGTAGGAATGCAAACTGGTGCAGCCACTCTGGAAAACAGTATGGTGGAGGTTCTTCAAAAAATTAAAAATAGAGCTACCCTACAACCCAGCAATTGCACTACTAGGAATTTATCCAAAGTATCCAAAAAATGCTGATTCAAAGGGGCACATGAACCCCAATGTTTTTTTTTTTTTTAATTTTTTTTTCAACGTTTATTTATTTTTGGGACAGAGAGAGACAGAGCATGAATGGGGGAGGGGCAGAGAGAGAGGGAGACACAGAATCGGAAACAGGCTCCAGGCTCTGAGCCATCAGCCCAGAGCCCGACGCGGGGCTCGAACTCCCGGACCGCGAGATCGTGACCTGGCTGAAGTCGGACGCCTAACCGACTGCGCCACCCAAGCGCCCCTGAACCCCAATGTTTATAGCAGTGCTATAAACAATAGCCAAATTATACAGAGAGCTCAAATATCCATCAACTGATGAGTGGATTAAGAAGATGTGGTATATACATACAATGGAATACTACTTGGTGATGAAAAAGAATGAAATCTTGCCACTTGCAACAACATGGATGAACTGGAGGGTATTATGCTAACTGAAATGAGCCAATCAGAGAAAGACAGACACCATATGATTTCACTCGTATGTGGAGTTTGAGAAACCCAACAGATGAACATAGGGGAAGAGGAGGAAAAATAAGATAAAAACAGAGAGGGAGACAAACCATAAAATACTCTTAAATACAGAGAACAAACTGAGGGTTTTTGGAAGGGGGTGCTTGGGGGGAGGGTAGGTTAAATGGATGATGGGCATTAAGGAGGGATGAGCACTGCGTATCATATGTAAGAGATGAATCACTGGGTTCTACTGAAGCCAAGAGTGCACTATATGTTAACTAACTTGAAAATAGATTAAAAGAATAAAATTTAAAAAAGAATATATTTGGTTGTTTTGTCAGTAGAAATTAAATGGTATAGACAAAAGCCTGGAATACTGAGGCCAGCAGACAGAAAAGCTGACCGCTTCTAGCTCCTAAACAGTAAGAGATGGAAATTTAAAACACTGCGTGACAAACGCTCAAGATGTTTCAGTTGATTATAGTGAATCATGGAAAATATCTGATTAAATGTGTGTTCCTTTGTTCCAGTCAGCTTCAAGGAAATCACTATCACATTGAAAGAGAGAGCATGGGGGCAAGGAGGCAGAAGATTATGTCTTACCAAAGCAATTGTAAGACTGTATCTTACAAGAAAATTCGAAGACTGTCTTACAAAAGAACACTGAGTAGGAATACTGGCAAATGAAACAGTCTGGGTGCCAATAGATTAGAGTTTACCAATGTTTTGAGGAAACCGTATTGTCAAAGAAACCACAAGCTTGTGTAAAAAGCCCAAGTTCGTTAGTTAAGCCATAAAACAACCTCTGGCAGGAAGTTGCATTGCCCCTAGGACGAGCAGTCTCCCCAGCTCCCTCTTTATATGTAGCCAAGGAGAATAAGGGTCCAGAAAGAAGCCCTCCGGAGGATGATGCAGAGGATCACAAAGGATAATAATGGTGAGAGAGTCGCTGCTCCAGGCTAGGCAACCCTGATGTCGAAGCATTGGTATTTCAGCATTGTAATACCAGTGTATCTGTGGAACGGTGACTACGGGGGTCTCTCAGTCTTGCCTTTCTGAAGGGGTGTGCTTATTTGTTTACTGAAGTTATCTTTTGCCTGATCCACTTTGCACATTTGTAGGTTGGCATGGGCATGAGATAGACAACTTGCTTTTTTAGTTCACAGGTCTTCAAGTCTAAGAGAAGTTTTATCTGTTCTTGATGGAGAGGACTATGCAATACAATGGTAGATTGAACCACATTCACAGGCTGGACCCTTTCCCATGGGTTCCTACATCCTTCTGCCAACAGACTGCTGCCTGCCCCACTCCCTACAACTGCTCCAGACACACCCAGATGCATCTGAATCTGGCAGTCCTGGTTCTCAGGACACCAGGCTGTCCCACCAGAACCATGGCTCTGTTACAGTTTGGTTAAGTGACAGGTTTGTCCAAGCAGTGACTCCGCAGATTTTCTGAATATCCTCCTTTCTGTTCAGCTGTCAGTGCCGAAGTCATGCAGCCCGATTTGTTAAATGTTTTCTGTCCGGTGGTTGGGATTTCAGGGATTTCACCAATGCAATGGTAGATTGGACTTTGCATTGTCTTCCTTGAGGATCAGTTGAAGGCGTTTTCTTGTGGGAAGAGGGAACAAACAAGTGTTTAATGACCAGAAGAGTATACTTTGGTGGAGATTGTTACTGCTCACCATATGGGCTCACCATGGACTCCTCTAAAAATTTTTTTTAATGTTTATTTTTTTGAGAGAGAGGGGGGTAGAGTGGGAGCAGGAGAAGGGCAGAGAGAGAGAGAGAGAGAGAGAGAGAGAGAGAGAGAGACAGAATCTGAAGCAGGCTCCAGGCTCCGAGCTGTCAGCACAGAGCCCAATGTGGGGCTCAGACTCACAAAACATGAGATCATGACCTGAGCCGAAGTCGGATGCTTAGCTGACTGAGTCACCCAGGCGCCCCACCATGGACTCCTTTAAATTTCCCAGCTTGCAGTGTTGGTCAGTAATTTTCTCTTCTTAATGTCTTTCCAATATCAAGGTATCAAGTTTTGCAAGCTTTATAAAAATGAGTTTGGATGTTTCTCTTCCTCTATTCTCTGGATGCACTTATTTAGATCAGCATTATTTGTACTTTAAATTTTTGTGAAGCTATTTTGGGCTGTAGTTTTCTCTGTGGGAAGAGTTTTAATTTCAGATTCACTTTCTTTGATATTGGTATTGGTGTTTTAAAATTTCTTCTTTTGGTAAATTGTATTCTAGGGAACCTGTATATTTCACTTTAATCTTCCAATTTATTGGCATGAATGTGGGCACATAGAGTGCCAATTTGTTTACATAAGTTGTTTATTATATCCTCTCATTATCCTATTAATGTATAGAAGATCCATAGTGATATCCCATTTTACTGCTAATTTTTTTAATATTTATTTTTTGAGAGAAAGAGTGAGCAAAGGAGTGTGAGTGGGGGGGACAGAGTGGGGGCAGAGGATCTGAAGCAGGCTCTGTGCTGACAGTAGAGAGCCTGATGCGGGGCTTGAACCCACAAAACAGTGAGATCATGACCTGATCCAAAGTTGGATGCTTAACCAACTGAGCCACACAGATGCCCCATGGTATCCCATTTTAAATATTTGATTTTGGTATCTGTGTTCTCTCTTTGCCTCTTTTCTCCCCCCCTCTAGATTTTTTTTTTTTTTTTTGCTAGGGGGTTATTAATTATATTAATCTGTTAAAGATTAAGATTTTGACTGTTGATTTACTGTTGCGTGTATTTTTAAAAAAATGATTTCTGCTCCTATCTTTTTGCCTCTGTTCTCCTTTTGGAGGGGGGGTTTGCTGTTCTTTTTCTAGCTTTTGAGTTGGAATCTTAGATCATTGGTTTTCGACCTTTCTTATTTTTTAATATAAAAATGTAAAGGTATATCTTTTCTTCTAGGTACTGCTTTAGTAGTGTTTCTGGCCACACCACCTCCCTTCTCCCACACATCAAGTAGTGAGAAACTCCTAATGGTGGAAATGTAGGATTGAACCTGCCTGAATCTCTGAGTCATTGTTTGGAGGAAAGCCATGCAGGAGAGCTACCTGGCCTGCACTGGCTTGTGATATCAGCAAGAAGCCTAGCTCTGATGTGTTTAGCTACTGGGTTTTCTATATGGTTTGTTTATTTGTTTGTTTTGTATATGTTTGCTATAGCCTAGCCTATCTTGTCTGATACAGGAGGACTTGTCTTATATCAGTTCCTGTGTTGGTTTGCATGACAGTTTGCTATGATCTCTATTCTTTTATACTCCCAAATATCAATATTATGAGATTATTGTTATAAAACATTTTCACTGAAGATGTGGGGAGATTGTGAAGGGGTATTACAGCACAGAAGACAATCAGAAACAACATTACATGTAATATGCCTTCCCCTCCCTCCCATAGGGAATTTTTCATTGTCTTTGCAGTCTGGCATTGCCCTGTTGCCAAGATTTGGGGTTCTCTTCTCTGTTTAGACTCTTCTCTTCTGGTTCATATTCTCTCTTCTTCACATACCTTTTATTCCAGAGCACCCCAAACTCTCCAACTTCTACATACAGCTTTTCCTTACTTTGGATAAAACAAAATTCCTGGTCATAGTGTCTTTTCTACTGATCAGAGCACATCCAGAGGTCTGTGGCAGAGAGGTGGCTGTGGGCAGCCTGACGGATGGTCAGAGTAGGGACTCTGAGTGGAGAAGATTTTCCCCCAGGACCTAGAGTTGTATTTTAAAAAGTCTTCTTACTACTTTCTTTATATGTCCACATTTTTGCTTCTTTTATTTCATTTGTTTTATTTTTCACATAGTTGAAATTCTGCTCTGCACCCTCCTTTTATGACTTAATTTTCTATCATGAGTATTTACTATATTCATATATGATCTTGGTAAACATTATTGTACATTCACATTTTTTTTCCTCTTTAAAAACTCAATGATCAGTCCTAAGGGGTATAAGAAGGACATGCAATTTCCTGAAATCCCAAGCACCAGACAGAAAACATTGAACAAATCGGGCTGCATGACTTCAGCACTGACAGCTGAACAGAAAGGAGGATATTCAGAAAATCTGCGGAGTCATTGCTTGGACAAACCTGTCACTTAACCAAACTGTAACAGAGCCATGGTTCTGGTGGGACAGCCTGGTGTCCTGAGAACCAGGACTGCCAGATTCAGATGCATCTGGGTGTGTCTGGAGCAGTTGTAGGGAGTGGGGCAGGCAGCAGTCTGTTGGCAGAAGGATGTAGGAACCCATGGGAAAGGGTCCAGCCTATGAATGTGGTTCACATCGTCCTGGCCCCACCTCAGACGGAGGGGCTATAATGGAAAGGGGGTAAAAGCATGGCAAGTTCACTGAAATTTCTGTGGGAGTATCAAGCCATCTTCCTTTGTAAAAGGCGAAAGATTTATACGATTTGAAGAGAAACCAGAGTATAAGCCATCTTCCTTTGTGTTCTCTGCAACAGTGGCCCACAGAGGACAGGGAAGGGATGGTGGAAAGATGTTCCCTCCCTCCTCCCCAATGGTGGATAACCCTGGAAACGGATTGGACACAGTTGCCTGAGTAACTGAACCAGGCAGCTGAACCAAACTATGTTTGTCTGGAAAAGGAGGGTCTAAAGAGTTGCCATAAGAACTGTCCATGACTTCAGTGTTAGCCTGATCGAGTACCAGTCACCAGCTAACCAAAATGCAAGAGAGGTCAGAGGGCCAAAGTGGTAACTCAGCACTGTTTCCAGATCCTTGGTTTCAGAGCAGAGACTACAGGGGCAGGTGGGCTCAGCCAGGTGTCTGCAGCCATCAGGTTCATAGGAAGGCCTTCAGGCCAGGTTAGAGACAGGAAAACCCTATGCTGAAGAGTAACCCCTACATAGGGGCTTAGCGAGGGGTCTGCATACATAGATAAGGCTGTGAGGAAGAGGACTGGCAGGACTAAAGAAGTTGACCTTGTAATGAGACAATTAAGATCACCGAGAGTCTGGCTTTATTGGAAGCCTGCCATGTAAATAGTGCTGCTGCTCTTTCAACTTGCCCTTTCAAGCCCAGGAAGATAACACCTTGATGTTATGAGTCCTTGAATGTTGTACAAACCCTCATATCTTCATACACCTCATATCTTCATAAATTGCCCTTCTATTAAATTATCTGTTATATCAATTATCTCGATATGAATATACCATCCGTTTGCTGCTGGGACATTACCAACACAGTGCTATTCTGTTGATGGCTCTGGGGAAGCCCCGTGGGACCCTGGCTCTCAGCAACCGGCTCTGGAGATAGAGGATGAGGATGAGGTTTAAATGGTGGATACCTGAAGGGAGGTGTGTAAGGAAGGCACAACAGGTAAGGACAGAGATTGTGATTTCATCGTCCTACTTCAGAGGTCCCTGGTGGGAATGGAATCTGGCCATGCATTTAGCCCTGAAATGTTGGGATGGATAGAGATTAGATAGATCTGATTCCATGCAGGGTGGGGTGGCTCTACTAGGAGGCAGAAAGGGTAAATAAAGACCATAGCCCAGGACCATGAATCACCCAGATCTAATTCCACTTGCTCTGTGGAGCAGAATCAGGAGGGCAGACTCAGGGAGGATAAGTATTAAGTTTTGAGCCCATGAGGAAGGAGTAGGGTGCATACCTGGTCGGAGTGCCTGCACAGGGTCTAACACCAGTGAGCCCCTCTACAAATTTGGTGGAAGAAATGAATATGCTTACAAAACAGCATAGGGAGGACATTCTTCTCCACTGACTTTCAGAATATACTCACATGGAAGGAATGTTTGAGAGAGGCAGTACTGGAATTATTCAGAAAACACAAAGAGTTGGGGAGGGTGAGCATGAGGAATTTTATAACAGGTTTGTTATAAATTTAATAAATACTGGAAAAGTGACAGGGGTTAGGAAAGTTGATTAAACAAAACACCACCCTAGAACACTAAATCTGGTTTTATTTACCCAGGTCATGTGGTACTTCCCTTAGTAAACTAAGGAATTTATAGACACTGGAAATTGAGTTTTTACTGTGTAAATTTAGAATGTGCAATCATGAATACAGGACAGAAATAAAGTGGAGGGGAAATGGCTTAGGTTGTTCTCCTACATTCTCTAGGGCCTTTGCACATGCTGTTTCCAATGTCTGGAAACTTCTTCTCCTTCCTCATACCTGGAAGAAGGTCAGGTTTTCTTGTTATGCTCTGATATAACTCTTGTACTGTTCCTTCACAGATAGTATAAGCATGTAAGTCGTGCTTTCATGTGGTCATTTGATCAATGTCCTGTCTTGCTTCTTAGCTGATAACCTCCATGAAGGCAAGGGCTGTGTTCTGATCACCATTGTTTCTCTAAAACCCAGTGCCTGACACCTGCCAGATGCTCAACAGGTATTTCATAGGTGACTGCCTGAAGAACTTTTAAAGCACGCCATGTTAAGACTGGCTTCCCAAGGAAGAGGAAGTGAAGCATAACATAATTCTGGTAACCTTGGGCCTATATTTCCTGCATTTCTCTGTGTAAAGACATTCTGACACCACACTAGTGGAGTGGGAGCATGAAACACCAGCATGGTAACTGCTGACATCAATTTTTGATAAGGAAGGGTAGTGAAG